AATACTACCTTCACTGTTGACAGTGGTATGTAAAACTGATGTAAAAGAAGTAAGAATCAGACCCTTTGCGTTTTTCAGTTTATTCTTAAAAAGTATTATGCTGCACTTTATGCTTCTCGTATTCATCTTACTCCTCTAGCTTTAGTGTGCTTACATACATTCCTGCCAGATACCGATCAGTGTTGCATACAGTCATCATTCTCGGCGTGTCTACTATATCCACCTACACAGAATGGTTCTATAATTTCTGTGCCTCCTTCTGTCTTTGGATGGAAAATGCACAACAGTCATAAATATAATTCATATCATATGTACGTGTCCAAAATTGGGAAAAGTCAGCTATTGCAAGTTTGAATTGATTCTGTCATCTAGAATCTAATTCATAATCTAATCATCGCCTCTCCTTAAGGCTATTTCAGGAGTGGAAATTGTAGTGGATGAAAAGAGAGAGAGTATTTTAATGCAATTTCATGACATAGATAACTATCATTGTTCTTTAAGCAGGACATTTACAGCTTAACCATCACATCTGTAAAACAGGGGGTGTGCTGAAAATTATGTAGGGAGTTAAACAAGGAATCTTCCCTCAGTCCCTGGTCAGGCCTTAAGGTGACTCTTCAGCCTCTCCAACCCCATTACTCCCTTCTCTGTCACAAGCAGTGAATTAGAAACCAACAATCTGTAAATATCCCTTTTATATTGCTGTTACACCTAAGGTGACTGGGCATCCAGACTACACTAGCCATCTCCCTTTTTGCCCAGCCAGATTTTGAGAATTTCTTACATTTGTCCAAAGATTTCTGGATGTCTGACAAGCTTCTGGGTGTCCTGGTTATTTCAAAAATACATTTGCAAATGCATTGAGTGATACATGTGCAGAGAATCAAACATTTCCTAGACTTAACCAGTATACTGTGCATGTGCTACATAGTGGCTGCAGCTGCATGCACACTTTGCATGCACAACTGGAGAATGCAGAATGTCCTCTCATTCTGGTGCTTCCTGGAAGCGTCACATTTATTGTGTTACATGCTCAGCAGTTGAACCATTCAGGGACTATATGTGTAGCATGGCTGGAAAATGTCGGATTTGCCATCTGTGTCTTACATGATCATGTATTTGTCCCTGAGAAATACTGATGGGAAATAACATAGAATCATAAAAAATTAAGGCTGGAAGGTAAAGGTTCAAGAGATTATCCAGTTAGTTCTGCTGTTCTGAGGCAGAGCAGCTATTCCAGTATTTGTCTAACTTGCTCCTAAGCACTGTCATAGGAACTCCACAGGTTCCCCCAGCAATTTATGCCAGTGCTTCACTGCCATATTAGACAGCTTTTCCCAGCGTCTAATTTGAATCTTACAGGTTATTGTGCCTCATTCTCTCTGCTATAAAATGTAAGACAGACTCATTCTCTCCTCTTTTCTTTAGCTTTGCCTGTATTTGAGGCAGGCATCATCCCACTCAGTCTTCCCTTCTTTAGATTAAACATGACCAGTTCGTTTCAGGTGTCTTCCTAAGCCTCAGGTAACTCCCAGGCCTTCAGCCACTCTAATTCTCCTCCAGTTGGTCCAGAAATTTTCTGAAGTGGGGCATCTAGCTGTGGACATGGTGCCTCCCCTGCAGAGTTCTTTCCAGTGCTTAGTCAAATCATAGAATCACAGAATGGTTTGGAGTGGAAGGGACCTTTAAGGGTCATCTAGTCCAACCCCCCTGCAATGAGCAGGGACATCTTCAACTAGATCAGGTTGCTCAGAGCCCTGTACAGCCTGACCCTGAATGTTTCCAGGGATGGGGCATCTACCACCTCTATGGGCAACCTGTTCCAGTGTTTCAGCACCCTCATCGTAAAAAATTTCTTTCTTATATCCAGTCTAAATCTACCCTCTTAGTTTAAAGCCATTACCCCTTGTCCTGTCACTACACTCCCTGACAAACAGTCCCTCACCATCTTTCCTGTAGGCTCCTTCAGGTACTGGAAGGCCACAGTTAGAGCTCCCCATAGCCACCTTTGCTCCAGGCTGAACAACCCCACCTCTCTCAGCCTGTCCTCATAGGAGAGGTGCTCCAGTCCTCTGATCAGCTTCGTGGCCCTCCTCTGGACCCGGTCCAATAGGTCCATGCCTTTCTTGTACTGGGGCCCCCAGAGCTGGATGCAGTACTCCAGGTGGGGTCTCACAAGAGTGGAGTAGAGGGGCAGAATCGCCTCCCTCGACCTGCTGGTCATGCTTCTTTTGATGCAGCCCAGGACACGGTTGGCTTTCTGGGCTGCAAGCGCACATTGCTGGCTCAAGTCCAGCTTTTCATCCACCAGTACCCCGAAGTCCTTCTCCACAGGGCTGCTGTCAATCCCTTCATCTTCTTCACATGCACTGCATACATCACTCCCGCTCACACCGCTTGGTATGGCAGTTGCCTTTTCTTCACTTTTGCAACACCACAGTGTTGCCGGTAGTATGTTCAGACTGACAGGATCATTTTGACTCCTAATCCTGTATTATTCCAACCTATCAAAAGTCCCTCCCAGCATTTCATTGGCATGTAAATTTAGTAAGCATATTCTCTTGTCTATCATCCAGATCATTAAGAAAAAATTGAGTAGTGCAGACTTCTGGGAAGCACCATCCATGCACACTTCCATTTCAACAGATAGATATCTATCCTCTTGGTTTTGTTTTCCAACTACTTTTGCATTCATTCTGCAGCAATTTCATCTAAACTATGTTTCCCTAGGTTATAAAGAATGTCACACGAGGGAGTGTCAAGAGACTTGTAAAGTCAAACCACCTACTGCTTTTTCCCTGTCCGCAAGGCCAATTACCCTGTCTTAGAGGGAGATCAGATTGGTTTGACACAGTTTGTTCCTAACAATCCATGTTGTCTGTTGCTACCTGGTTTTCTTGCGGGTGCTTACAAATTGTTTGATTATTTTCTTCAGTACTTTTCCACAGGCTGAAGTTTAGTTTACTGGACTATAATTTTACAGATATTTCTTTTTAAAGATAGCTACTACATTTGTTATTCCATCGGTGCAGATAAGCACTAACGTTTTTAAGACTGTTCCAGATAGTGCGAAAGCATCTACCTTATCTAAATACAATACTTTTCTTCCCTTGCCTAGGCTGAAATCTTCAGTTTTGCCAGAGATTCCCTCAAACAACAGACCCAGAGCCCAAACACCTGCCTGTTTCTGAAAGCTGCACTCTGGACTGCTTCCCTATGAGAAGATATTATAAAAGTAGACGTTCTGGGTTGGGAGCTCTCTGTAGATAAAATCCAGCCCTTAGTGAAATTGTTTTAAAGAAAGATGCCCAGTGCTTGCGTGAGTCTGAAATCTGGAAGCCTTTCAATCAGTGTCTCAACTGTTATCCCTCTAATAAAATGCCAGTTTTCTTTTTCAAAATGTGCTGGATCCAAAAAAACTCCTTGAGATAATAAAATGTTTTGTGTTTATTGATCCCTAGGGAAGTCAAAATAGGCTAGAACTGGTCAGATAAATAATTTTCATTATTATTAAAGGGTAACTCAAAGTTTCTTGCTTCATTTTGTGTTCCATGTGGGAGGTAGAAAAAGGAGTTGTAATTTTTTCCATCTTAAACAGACCTATAACAGGAATAATGTCATTAAAATTGTTCATATATATTCCACAGAAAAGTGTCATCTAGAATGTGATCAGATACCTTTATCTACTATGCCATACAATTTGTTGTCTACTTAGCATCAGTCATTTCTATGTGTTCTGGGAACATATTATATATAATTTGAGTATTACTAATGAATTCAGCTCCTTTTCTGAAGTCATTTATTCAGTTAAATATCAAAAGAGAAAAACTCATGCTCCTTAGAATTCAAGAAATAGATTTAAATTACTGACTTCAAGCACGGCCAAATAGGCCTTTATCTTTCCCCCTTTCTGAGAATGCAGATAACAGCTATCACTTAAAAGTGAAGCCTTTTAGTACATTTTTGCAATCTTTTTTGATCAATATCAAGAATCAACATAAAATAAAGGTATAATAAGTAGCAGTCACCTGAGTGTATCAGGATTATATTACTGTATTATTAGGCTCTGAAAGGGCTGCACTGGACTACTAGAAGACAATTTAAAACTGTAAGGTCCATTGTGTACCTTTATTCTGTAAAAAGATTGCCCTTTGAATTTGCTGGGAGTTTTATGTAAAAATCAGTATCAGAGAATGTTTGTAGTTTTCAGTCCCACATGAAAGCTTATTATAGGCAGAAGGGATTACTGGTTCTTTCCTTTCTTTCTAGTGAACAGCCAAAGACTACACTGTTGTAAAATTTGTAAAAAGAAGTAATTGTAAAGCCAGGTTCATGTAGCACAGTGTATCATTTGCATCTACCGTACTCGCTAGGCTTTTTAGGTCTGTCTTACGTGGCACAGTCCTGATGTGAATGGGGCTCAGAAGTTTCACTGTGTGTTCTAGGCAAAGACAATTTATTGATTGAGAAATAAGATTTCAAGATTTTGGTTTGTTTGCTAGATCTAATGTTATACAACAAATTATTCCTTTCTGTAGGAAGGGGATTTTCCCCCAGTTTACCTTCTTTTCCCCATTCCCACTCTTCTTGGCCCTGGTCCTGCAGTATGAAAGGACCTCTCTGAAACAATGCTGATTTATATGAGAATCCATATAGGGAATAAAAGTCTGACATCGTGAGTCAGAAAACAGGTAAGGCCATGTATTTATTAAATCAGAATGCTGCTGGGAATGTCATAGGTCTCTTATCACCCATTTCAAACAAGTATTTAGCTTCTAGTTAGATCAAGTATCTGATTAAACTGAGAAAAAATGGAAAGTCAGAATTCAAAGCAGCTCAGATTGCTCCTGCTGTAAACACTGTCACCTGAACTAAGTCCATGGTATTTAATGCTCCTGTGGGATTAGTCGCCCAGAAGTAGTTGTGTGAGATGGTGCATTGAAAGTTTCCTATTAACTGCTGCATTTTCTAAATACCTATTTTTACATTTTAACATATAGCTCCATCAGCCCTCCCAGACGCAAGTGGGACAAGCAGCCTCACAACCCAATCTCCTGCATTTGGCTCACAGTCAAGCATCTATGTCTCAAAGCCCAGTGCGTCAGGCTTCCTCTTCTTCCTCCTCATCCTCCTCCTCTTCAGCTTTGAGTGTTGGCCAGTTAGTCAGCAGTAAGTATTCCTCCCTGGCTCTCCTTAATTCTCCCTCTGTTTATCCTCCTCACTGCTGAGTTTGCTGATGTGCTTTCCCTCCTTTTTTTTTTTTCATATAGTAGATTGTATATTGCTAAGTAGAGTGGAACTGCTAAGTGCTGTCATGGGTGGCGCTTAAGGTAAACATGCCTTGAGAAATTGTAATCAATGCTAAAAATAGTCATAAAAATGGTAGCAGCTGTTAATTGGCCTAAGAGGGAAATTCTTTTAACTAAAATGTAGTTTATGTTCCTTGAACTTATGTTCCTAGAAGTTTTTGAATTAGTCAATATAATGAATTACATTGCTCAGAATTTGGTGGGCGGATAGATCCTCCTACTTTTGGGTAGCCTGTTGGTTTGTTACTGTTTGTTTGCTTAGTGTAGCAAACTGTTTTATGAACCTAGCACTACAAAAATCTAGAGCAAGAGACATTTCTTGCCAGGAGAAGCCTGCACAATTTAAACAAGAAAAAACTAACATGGGAAAGGAGAGAGAAGCATGCTGTGGTGAAATAACTGAGTTTCCGTGCTAGGATTGTAACAGCTGACCTCCTGAACAGCCCTTTCTTCCAGATCACACAGTTCAGCATCTTCACTGTTACCTTATCAGCATTAAATTTGGTCTTTACATAGCAAAAACAACAGGTTAAAAGTACACATAAGAAGCAGTTCTGCACATCTGCAAAAATCTGAGTGTACTGGATGACCTTGTTCAAAGATACTCCATGTACATATTTCAAGTAAACAAACACTCACACCATATTGGTAATGGAAAATATAGGACAGACACAAGCTCGTGAATGGCTTGGAGAAACTGTCATACAAAGGAAGATGTGAAAAAAATCTTGGTTAGATTATTTCAGAGATTGTTTACATGGGGAAATTACTAGCAGAGCTATAGTGGTAAAATTACGCTGGTATAACTCCCAGTGTGAATACTTTTATTCTAGAATAAAAATATCCGCATTGGTAGCTGTAAGTACATAAAATATATAGATATAATTATAGTGATACAAATATACTGCTGTTGCTCTGTCAGTAAATTTTCTCATGTAGACAAGCTTGGAGGGAGAAGACAAATAAGAGGCTTCATGTTTAAAATATGTAAAGTTACCCCTTGTCTATGTGGGAAAACTGACTAAAATAGCTAGTGCAGAATAAATTACTTTAAAATGGCTAGGCCAGAATAGCCTCCCTTGTGGATGTCTTACTAATAACTGAGGGGTGGTATTCTAGAATAATTGAGGGGTACTCTACCCCACAATAGTTATCCCAGTCAATTTCTACATGTAGATAAGCACACTACACAATAAAAGCAACATGGAAGAAGCCCTTTTAAGTTTACGGGATAAACCCATCAAAAGTTAGGAGATACCAGAAAAATAGTCGCTTGTTCAAGTGTATGCAGTTCCTCTCAGAACATGTATTTTATGATGACAATATACTTGTGGTTAAAATCACGCAATCATGATTATTTTCTCATCCTTCTTTCAGTTCATTCCCAGTGGACTTGTTCTAGGGATGCATCAGAATTACTAATACAACAGGCAGGCTGTTGTCCCAGGGTTTGTTCCCTACTTGATTCACTAAACTGTTCCCTGGTTTGCATAACATTTGAGGTAGGGAGCTGCAGAAGGGTGAAGGATGCTCTTGCTTCAGGCGGTAGAGGGCTGAGGAGCTGAAGCTTTCTGTCTGCCATGTAATTCCAGTGCAATGGCAGACAAGTCACTTAAAACACATTTTTCACAAGTGCTCCCTCAATATCCAGCTTGAGACTCTGGACTTTAATTTACAGAAGAACCTGGTACTCACAGTTACAATTTTAAGTGCACTTTCACTGTGGAACTGTATAAAGAACCATTTAAAGGCACAGTCTAAAAAAATCATCTCCTACTTGACCGAGACTGGGCACCCAAAAATGCTTTTTCCCTTGATATCTGTCCACTTCCCTATGAATGAGAAGGGGAAGACCCTTATCTTGTAGAAACACAAGAAAATAAATTAAGATTTAAAAAACCAGAATAGCTCAAGAGGAAATGAATAACTATGTCTTTGGTGAAGAGCTTTAATAGAGGTCTGGGGCCACACACTGAACAAGTAAAAAGGCAATACATCAATCAGTTCTTCTGTAATGAAGCACAATACATCCTGTGCACTGGATGAGGCAGGGGTCTGGGGAAAAAGAATTGGTAATCCAGGGCTCAAAGACCATGCTACACTGCATTGTGGGCTACTGCTACACTGCATTGTGGGCTACTGTTAACTCCAGCATTTTATAGCTTCTGAGTGTTCTTTTAGCTTCATTTTTGCTTGAATAAATTTCAAGGTTGTTACAAAAGCAGAATAGTAATGTCAGTCCATCATATCGTGAGATAATGTTTATACTCATAGTTGGAAATATGAGATCCTCTGTCAGCTGAGTGGATGGAGAAGCCGATAGGTTGTGTTATCGTCTTGTTGGTCCTGCTCTAAAAGGAATAAGATGCATGCTATGCTCATGGATTTGGCTGAGAGCAAAGGAGTATGAGGCACATGAATATCAGTTTGGGGAAGAGGGGGAGATACACTAACGAACATAGACTTTCTACTCATTCTTCTCAGGCTTGACTCCTTCCACCACTTGTCCTGTTCCAGTCCCATTACTTCCTCACACCATTCTCCACACAATCTGCACTCCCTTTGCCTCTGTGCTTCTTTTCCCCTTGCCTTCTCCCTGCAGTCCTTTCCTTGCAGTCCATGATTCCTCAACTGCTCTTCCCATTGCAGTTCCCCTCTAGCTCCCCACCACTCTCCCCAGACTGTATCTGTGTCCCTTTTACTAGCCTTTTTATTAGGTGGTTTCTGTCCTCCTCCACCTTGTTTTATCACTATAGTGCCACCTCTTTTCCCCTGTTTTCTTTTCTCCACCACAGTGATTACTACTCTCTGCAGTTAGGTTCTCTCTCCCTCCACTCCAAACTCAAATTCTAGCTCCTTAGTAGTCTTCAGAGGGTTTTTTCCCTTCCATCATTCCTTTTTCTTCAGACCCAAGGTTAATTTTTGCCCCCTCTGCATCCAAATCATGCAGACGCCACTCCCACCCTCCCTGGAAGCCATCAGAGGACTGTGCAAAATGATGAAGAGAGGCGAGTCAGTCTCTCTGTCTACTGCTGTCCTGGCCCAAAGCAGACCAGAGCCACAACCATAGGAGGCGAGGTTCTTCTCCATCTATTTCACTTTAGGCTCAAGCATCCTCAGTACAGAGCAAACCTTAAAGAAAACTCCACACAGAGTCTAGCAAATCTCTGCTGAGTAGATATGAACTTTGGAGGCTCACCTGCTTGGTCTTTTTGGAGTCAGATTTTTACCTGGGTGGCAAGAAGCCCATTATTGACATAACAGCAATCTCCCTGACACCTATCAAGTTAGGGAAACTGAAAGTTTTTAAAGAAAAGAGGTTATTACAATTTTTTTTAACCTGGGCAGAGCAATGTGTTTTATTAGCCTCATTCTCAGAGGTAGTTGACCTGAAATTTGTCTTATAATTGCAAATGCCAGGCAAATTTAGCCATAGTCAGTACCCTACCTAATATAATGAATGGCACAGAGAAGATAGGAGGTGCTTCTCTTGTGCTCAGAAAAGAAGAAAGCTCAATTAAATCAAGCAGGGAACTCAGAGCAGAGGCCCCAGAGTTGAGTAGCTTGGTAGAGTTTTGCTGTATTCCAGAAATTGTTGCCAAATAGAGTAAAGTTCATGTAAAACTAGGCATATTCAGTTACCTTATTCTGTTAATCGAATTGGTTAGAGCAACATAACTTCAGTAAATAATTATTTTGGACAAGGTTCTGCACACTTCCTGTAAAGAGAGTAACTCTGTAAGAGGCTGCCTCACATCAGTGAAATTACTAAAGTACTATGAGAAAGGGATCAGAATTAGGCATCAATAACTTTAGTGTTCTATGTTTCTTGGTTTTATTCCTTTTACTTTTCATTCTAGTCATATTTTATGATTTTAAATTTTTTCTTTAACATGTTTCCTAATTTCCTTCCTTTTTTTGTTTATTTCCCTTTATATTTTTAGTTCCTGCCCTTCCCCCCCCGCCCCCGATCTGTTCTTTATAGCTTCTCCCTTTTATCTCATCCTCACCCTTTCATCCCTCACCAGCAACAAGTGCTAGTTCTTCTAAAGACAAAAAATGATGGTTGTTTCCAAAGAAAGGGCATTTAAAAAGAAGTTCTGCCTAAGCAAGGACTGCAAGATTCATCTCTACCCTTCCTGTCCTTTCTGTATGATTTCTTCATATTGTCTCATCCTATCTCTGTTCTCTTTTCTTTGTTTTCTCTTCGTTCAATTCTACATCATTATTCCTGCTTTTTTCCATTTAATTTTCCTCTTCTCAGATGCATCCCTCTTCTCATTTCTTTAACTTTTCCACCATATGTTCTCTTTATGGAAATCACTGGTTTCCCCTCATGCTCTGAGACTTGTATCTCCATGAAGTTCCTTCCTTTCTTCTAAATTCATTTTACTGTCATCTGTTACTATAAAATCAAAATGCCTCCCACAAACAAATTATTATTCTTTCTTTTCCCTGAGCTCCAGTCCATTTTCCATTAACAATGTTTTGTCCTGCCTCTCTTATCCAATTTACTTTCCATTGGACTTCCTCTGGCAGCTATTTCTCCTCCTGTCTGACTGGGGAAATCATCCCCTGTAATCCCTCCCATGGTAGAACTCTGTGCAACAGAAATTTGCTTTCTCCTTCAGGGTGCACTGATTTCCCTCCCTGACTATTAAAATCACAGCAAATTTCTACTCACCAATAAACTTATGCAGGATTTTCAGAAGAATTCAAAAGTGGGAGTAGTATTCTGTTGAATAGGAAAAAGGGGGGTCTCAGTGCAAAAGGAGAGCCTGTGGATTCTGTTTCTTCCACTGTGCTCACCCACCTTCACCATCCACCAGGATATCTGGGGGAATTTTAGCTGAGTTCCTTTTTGTTAGGGGATATGTACACATACAACCTAAAATGGTCCCAGACAACTCTCTCACCTTCCTCCAGCACCCAGTAGTTTCATAGACACAACAGCCATTGTTTTGTCAAGCCATAATGTACACTGGGAGTCTTTAAATGCCGTTACCGTAGATCCCAACCACTCAATAAGATGGGTATTCTTTATTTTCCTGTTGGCACTGTGCTGCCGTCTTTAGGATATCCACTTAATTTAAAAAGCACTAGGTTATTTACACTCTTCAATAAGCTACTCTTCCTAAAATTTGAAGTGCACTGTACACTTAACTGTTCCAAGAGCTCAGAACTTATTAAAACAAAGTCCATTATCTATTTTTATATGTTTATGTATGTGTATGTATTAGTCCACAGAGTCCAAGATTATGTATTGATGGCATTTTAATGGCAATAGAGTAAAACAGAACGGTGTTGTTATATGATGATGTCACTAGAGTGGTCTTTGTAGTACTGTTTGAGTTTTATGGAGCTGACAGAAATCAAGGGACTGCTTCTATGGATTTCAAATGGCTTTGAATCACACCTGAAGTGGAAGTAGTTCTGATTTGATACAAACACTATTTTCCCTAGAGTTCAGGAATAAAAGTCTTCAGTGTTTTGGTCCGCCTCTGTTAGTACTTTCCTCCTCCTAAAGATGCTATGTAAGAATGGAGCTTCTTTCTCAACAGATACTCTGCCATATATTACAATCTACTCCCATATTCCTGAAGTGCATCACAGGGTTTTTTCTCATCTCAAGGAGAGCTCAGCCTAATTATTCCCTCGCCCAAGCCCCCCGAGCAGGAAAGGACTTCCCATGATGCTCACTGTTGCAAGTGTGCCATACCAGAAGGATCAGCAGAACTTGGCAGAATTTCTCTATAATCATGTGCAAGCAAATAACCCCTTAGCTTTCTTACCTCCCTTTTTATTCCTAATAGGAGTCGGGACATTTACAGGTGCCAGTTGCCATAGCGTTTGCTACTTTGAAAGTTCTCTGGGAATACCTGGGTTGTCCTTTGTCACATCCCTAATAGCCTTAGTCTGAGGCCTTAAACTGAAGGAAGGAAAGAGGTGAGGAAGGTCACCATCTTAGTGCACTTTACTCAAGGGAATCTTTGAGGCCATTATCATTTATGATATTTTGTACATTTATCAGTTGCTCCTCAGAGACCCAAAGGGCAGATAAGCATCCAGCTCCATTCTCTGTCTCTGAAAATCAGAACTGGTATGCTAGATGATAGACTGTATATGGGGTAAGTAGGAAAATTTCACACCTCTAAAGGCAATTACTTCACAAACCTGAGTGTCCCGTCATAGTGCTGACTACTTAAAACCAAATAATACGCACCCTAGCTTTGTACTGAATGAGTGCATGCATGTGTGCACAGGTGAGGTCAAGCATAGCGCTGACAACAGGAGGGACGATTCTCTGTATGGAGCATTGTCAAAACTTGGTTCAGCCTATGTGTGTGTTTCCCTGCATGCATCATTCATGGGGTCCCTGGTTGCATACACAAGTATTTTTAAAATACTATTGCTATGTGTGCTTCTTGTTGCAAATCAATATAGGCTAAATTTATATAGCAGAAAAACCTCTTCCCTCTGTCTGTTATTGGACTAAAAGATTTTTATAGGCATTTCCATCATAGGAGAAGTTTACATCAGGTTTATAAACCCCTGAAAATAAAAGCTTTGTTACTGTAATGCTGACAAGTCCTTAGCTATAGCAATACTAGCAGGATGGACTCTCATAGAGGGTTCAGAATAGTAATGTAGTCTAGCACCGTCCTTGGACAACTGCTTGCATTTACAGAAATTGATGGGTTATTGTGCCGCAAACTTTTCACCTAAGCAGCCTGAGGAATGAGGTGAAGAACAATAGAGATATCTCGCTGGGAGAATGGCTTCACTACACGCAGGATTGCACAACACTTTGAAATCTTCCACCATCCCAGTCCCATGCTGTCTCTGACTTGGCAAACACTTTCATTTAGCCAGGGATCAGTAGCTTGGGGAGAAAAAAAGTTCCATTCTCCAGCTGTTGTGTCATTTCCCTTGATAAGTCCTAAATTGACCGAGTTATCCAGCACCAAAGGAGCTTTCCTGTGGTAGACATGCTTTATTATGTGCCCTTTCAGGGACAAAGGCTTCTGTGTCAGTAAGCTGCTATGGAGAGGAAGGACAGATTTATTCTCACAGCATCAGAAGCATTATCTTCTGAGGGGCTAATGTAAAAGTAAAAAATTGTGCGGCATTACCATCTGAAATCTAATGGCTGATGTTGCTGCTCCTTGGTTATCACCCTGATGGGAGGCAGAATGAAAAGCTTGAAAGGCTGCTTCTCAGAAGGGCATATTTTAAAAGATTATTTTTAAATTAAGGAGTTTTTAAAGGCAGAATTTTGTTTGGGTTTATTCATTTGCTGGGTTATTTTGGACATTTGGCTGGAAGGTTGAGTTAGGTATTTTGCCAAAGGGAAGGAAGGTTTGTGAATCTCCTTACTAGGCATTAATTTTAGATAGAGCAGAAAGTCTTAATTTCAAATTAAAAACCCAAGCAGTTTGTACGTAAATTTAGCCCTCCCCACAGACTGCAAATAAATATATTAATACCAGCCTTCCTTCTCTATGGGATGAGAAGGGGAAATGGGAACATGACTTGTCAACCTGGGGGACATTTTGCAAGGCACAAACGGCAGTGAGGAGCCCAGGCACCACCTTGCTCGGAGTTGGAAACACTCCAGCCTAGTTAGCATTTTAGGTTTCTGAACATGCTTCCTAACACACCTGACAAGGTGAGCCTGTTTCTGTTTGGGGAAGAAGAGAAAGGGATATGTATTAAAAAAACCAAACATGAACGTCTTGATCATGAAAGCTGGTGTAAGGCTAGCCCACTCATATGTGACGTGAAGAACTGACACGATTAAAAAAAATATTTCAACAGATCCTCAGACAGCCACTGGAGAGGTGGATGGGGTGAATCTAGAAGAAATCCGAGAATTTGCCAAAGCTTTTAAAATCCGGCGCCTGTCCCTTGGCCTGACACAGACTCAAGTTGGCCAAGCCCTAAGCGCCACCGAAGGCCCAGCCTATAGCCAGTCTGCCATCTGCAGGTAACAAGTTAGATCATAAACTCTCCTCTTCTCTCTTTGTTCTTAATAATTATTCAGCTTATTGCGAAGAGCATGCTTGTGTTTGTCTCATGTCTTTAGAATGTATTATTTAATCTGGGACTTAAATTAGCCAATAATGTTGGTATCTGGCAGATAAAATGTTCTTACTGTGTACCCCTAAAGTAACTTCAGGCTTTTTTTTCCCCCCTCCTTTTTTAAGCAAGTGGGAAACAATATTCCTGGCATTGAGACTTAATTCAGTAGATGAGCTGGAGACCCTGCTGATACTGGATAAGCACCAGCTGACCCTCTTCATACTGTGCCATTTTCTACAGATAGGGTTACTGAACAAATATTTCATGGCTGCATCCCTGCTAAGTTAAAACCTGTATTACTGTGGTTAGCACTTCACATATAGGATGTTAATGATGATTTACCTAGGCAACACAGAAGGGAGAAAATTATCCTTCCTGCTATCTTGCAAACCAGCAGCTATTCATGTTTTATCACCCAAATGTTTACTAAAAAAACAGACAGACAACCCATGTGTGCAAAGCACAAGTAGAAATCTGCCCTAATCATAAGAATTGATAATACAGTCTTGACAGAGTTAAAGTAGTTAGAAGTGAACAGCGTATATGCATGTATGTGTGTTACAGTAATCCCATGTTTATGCATGAGGTAACAAACACACTTAGGTAACAGCTTTTTCCTCTTGGGCAATGCCTTATAGTCCTCCTCCATCAGTGAAAGCCAAGAAACCAACTCTAAGCTCATTTAAGTGGATTTTGTTCTTGGTGATCCATGAAATGCTCTGTCTTTTTATCTGCTCTTTATACTTTTAATGTATTCCCCATAGAACGGAAGTGTACTTTTCCTGCAGTTTAAGACTAAGGTTATAAATAACATCAGTATGGGGTAGTGAGCTTGCAGCTCACATTTTGCTCAATGATTTTCCATAAAACCCATTGATTGTTGTTAAATACAAAAAGCTCCATAGGATCCTCTCACTTGTATGGTCTCCCCTACTGTTTTTTCTTATAAGATACCTCCCTGTAGAAAATAACCTTTATTCAGTCTATACAAGGATACTACTGCTGGGAAATTTGTTTCAAGACTTGTATATCGTTATACCAAACAACATGTACTGCAGTATCAACACTAACAAGCAATGCCAATGATATGAATGCTATTGCTCCCTGTTGCTAAGGATTAATTTTTTTTTTTTCTTCCCTGTGGTCAATTGGTAAAGAATGCCTAAAACAGGTAGAATTTTTAGCAATTGCCAATTTCTTGTAGCCTTAAGTTACTGTTTAACATACCATACTTTAAAGTGATAAATTGCAGTTTCCTTTGCTTTTGTCTCGTTTGCTGTCTCCTCATTTCCTCCATTTACACCTGAGAAAACCACTGGGGATGGTTTGAATTTTACTAAGAGAAAGGGTTCCCCACTAACCGATTATCATGAAAACCCCAATAAAGATGAAGTTGGAGCACAGACATGGCTAACAAAAGCCCAGAATGAGGAGACCTTTTACAGATGGCTCCTTAGGGGGGCATATTGCTCAGAACATGAGGACTGGGTGCAGAAGCTGGTCCCAAGTACTTGGGACCCAAGGTTATGGAGGGGTTTTATTTCCTCTGACACCTTTCCCCCCTCTGCCCCCCCGCCATGGATATCACTTTGGGGTATAATAACCTGCTACAACTGTGCATTTTTTGTTAAGCGCCAAGACAAGCTACTTCAGTGGCAGTATGCTGTTCCTCAGAAATAGTAGGTTCAACTTTTTTTTTTATGGTAAGAAAGGAGTTTCAGCATGAACTCCAGGGAAATGGAAAGGACAATAAGGTAAGCAAGTTGAATGACCAACTCGGAGAGAGAAGTAGAGCTTCCCGGTGCCCTGTGCAGCTCACATCAGCAATATACCACCTTGCTGATATGTTCTATGTGTAAATAATGGCATTTTCTTAACTTGTGCAAATGCGTTTCAAAACATACACTTCAGCCTGAAATATCACTGCCACCAAGGAAGGACACCTTGCAGTCAATACCACACTAGGATCCCAGGCATCAGTAACAAATTCTTTGGAGTGTTATTATCTGAAATTATTACTTGTCTTATTCTTTGTTTGTGAGAAATGCTTTGTTTCTTGCTGGAATATTTTCTGCAGCCACCACATGCTGAATAGAGACACTAAAAATTGCCAACTTCAGTCACCAAGTTGCTTTGCACAAAGGCATTGATTCAGTCGGTCTCGTCTCCAGAGCACGACGTGATTAGCAGCAGTGGCGGTGCTTCAGCACCGGACAGGCTGGAGAGTGCAGCAGCGCCGCGCAATAATTGTTGCCTTTCCGCAACGTTAAATAGCGCAGTGTGCCGGGTGGACATAGACAAAGTGGGGAGATACAAATGGGTGGCATCAGAGGACTTGGGTTAAGACTTTTTTTAATGTGTAGCAAGAGAGGATGAACTCGGTAAATGAAAGAAACAAGTACTTATAAGACTTGAAATGTGAACTCAGCTCTTCAGCTTGTTTTTGAAAGGATTAAAGCTTTGTGTGGCTGCTTTTCCAGATGTTTTATAATACTTGTAAAATCTGGTTTGGCAAAAGACTTTTGATGGCAAAATGATATATAGAAGACCTCATTTACAGGAAATGATATCATTCTGGTACAGTTTGCAGAGATCCCACAATAAACCCAGCTTGGTGCCACAGCGTATTAGTAGACTATTATGCTGGGTTTCATCTGGAAAACATGAGTCTGTCTTTGCACATTGTGGGGGCAGTCAAGATAATTGTAAAATGTCCAGCTGTTTCAGCTGAACACCACTGTAGCTATGGGAATCTTTCTCCGACCCAGAAAAGGGATATAGCGTTAACTTGCAAACAGTGAAAATTGCTGAAAAATGAAAGGAAAGGAAACCTGATACTCAGAGGCTAGTAACTGCCATTGGTTTGTATTATTAAAGCTGTGGTGTTTGGACAACATGGGATGGGAGGGGAAACAAAAGGATTAATCACAAAGACAAGATGATAAAGAGCAATTGCCTTTGATGTCATTTCCTGTAATTAGACTTAGCCTTAAGGGTTTTGAAGATTGTCAGAAATACGAAAACGTGACTCATAACCTGTATTATTTAGTGCACTTAGAATTTTGTTGTAGTGCTCGTTTTGTGTTAGCTTAAATATCTAGCGAGATATATATATATATATTTATAGATATACCTATCTGATAGTTTTCGTAATCCATTGTAAATTACCTCTGCCAGTCAATTAGTCAGGCAGGCAGGAAGTCCCACCCTGGCAGAGCATCAGTGTAAGACTCTTCTTTCTCAATTTTCCCTCAGACACACCATCCTGAGAAGCCACTTTTTCCTACCACAGGAAGCCCAAGAGAACACTATAGCTAGCAGTCTGACAGCCAAACTGAACCCTGGCCTTTTGTATCCTGCCAGGTTTGAAAAGCTGGACATCACCCCTAAAAGTGCCCAGAAGATAAAGCCGGTGCTTGAGCGGTGGATGGCTGAGGCTGAGGCCCGCCATCGAGCAGGTATGCAGAACCTTACCGAGTTTATCGGAAGCGAACCATCCAAAAAGCGCAAGAGGCGTACCTCATTCACGCCACAAGCCCTTGAGATCTTGAATGCCCACTTTGAGAAGAACACGCACCCCTCTGGGCAAGAAATGACAGAGATTGCAGAGAAACTGAACTATGACCGGGAAGTAGTTAGAGTTTGGTTCTGCAATAAGAGGCAAGCACTGAAGAACACAATTAAGCGTTTGAAACAACATGAGCCTGCGACGGCAGTTCCTATGGAGCCTTTAACAGACTCTCTGGAAGAAAACTCCTAAAAACAAAACAAAACCACACACAAAAAACCCCTGCACCAACAGAAACGTAACCTTTTGAACTCTGTGAAAATACCTGTTCATCATCCTTGTAAGTAAAAGACTGAGAAAACTACAAGAAGGACAGAACAGTTTATAAATGTCCGTGGGTTTTCCTATTTAAAAAACTACATGAAAAAATACACAACACTTTGTGTGTGTGTCGTAGAATTAGTTCCCAAAAAAAAAGAAAAAGCCAGTTTTTTTAAATGGACTTAAAGTAAACCAAATAACTGCTTACTTTTTTTTCTGTATATTATGAAAATGTGAACACATTTTAAGGAAAAACAAAACAAAAAAATAAAGAAAAAAAACTTTTATCTGTTTAAAAGAGAATACAAGCCTGCCACCTGGAGGAGTGATTGTAGCCTTTCAGGTATCAAGTGCTGATTCACTATGAAAACTACTAACCAAAGTCAGAAACATGGCATTGCAAACTAGATTGTTAGTCTACTCTTTTATGAGTGTAAAATTGTGTTACGAATTTTTACATTTGTATTTTGCAAAGAGGAAAACAACAGGATTAATTTCTGTCATCCTTGTTCACACCCCCCGCAGGTGCGTACAAACAGGTGTTAAAGCCATTCCATAGTGGTCACCTCCTTTTCTTTCTTTTCCTTTTAGTCAACAGTTTTGCAATCTCCAAGTGTTTGGGTGCCAAATTGGTTTTTTTTGGTGATTTGTGGGGTTTGGTATTTCTCTTCTAAGGGTGTATGTCTTGGTTTGCATTTCCCTTTTTTTTTTCATGTGGTGTTTTGTTTTTGTTGGTTTTTTTGGGGTTTTTTTTTTTTTGCTGCTTCCCCCCTTCCAGCTCATTCTCCCCCCTGCCCCCCCTTCCCTAAACACACATAACCCAGTACTGTTTGAAGATTTTTAAAAAGAAAAGTGAAATCTGAACACTTTTATATTGATATGCTGAAATGCAGTAGAGGACAAAGAAAGATTAGGATTATGTCTCATGAACTGTCAGCCCATGCTGAACATTGTGCTTATTGTCGACTGTGTAGCTTGGGATTTCTCTGTCCTTTGGCCATGAACCTGGGGAGGTTACCAAAACTCATTTTGTAGTACAAATATAAACTGCACACTTGGTTCAGTACTGCATCTATATTATGGTTCTGTTTGAAGCAATTTCTCTCCAAAGTCTGCTAGCCAAAGAAATTTCTTGAGATTCTGATGAAAACAAACGGACAGGCCGAGAAGTGATGAGGATGTTTTGATCATTACATCACTGTGGACTGTTTCAATGGTAGTGCTTTGTTCCTTCTGCCTTTTTTTAATGCCATCCCGATATTGATGCTTGCCCTGTTGACCTCTTCAGTAGGAGGATGTGTTTCTGCAGGTGTTTGCTGTGACCACTGGCTAGACTAAGGAATGAGGATATAGGGAAACCCATTGAATATCCTTTGGGAACAGTAAGGTGGGTCACCTGCAATATGTTTCAGGTGAATTGATTTTTCTTTAATGACAACTTATCTCTGTGGCTTACTTTTTGATTGGACAGGTATCTTCTAAAATACTATGGGCACTGGACCTATGGGTATACCAAGACTCAGAGGGAGAGAAAGGTGTTGCAGGTTCTTGATGGGGTATGGGCTGACCTGTGAAGGTCACCTGCAATTTTCATCTTCTGCTGAGTTCTGCTCCTGCCTTTGGGGTTCAGTCCACTATTAGGGTAGAAGCTTCATCTTCATCAGGACTTTCTGAAGGATAACATTGGAGATCTAGTTCAGCTCACTGTAGAGGTGGTAGCATAAAATTCTGCTGGTGTAACTCCTGATTTCATTCACTGACCTCCGGATGATTATACTGGATTTTTGCTGGTCTACCCAGGACATTGAAGGAGGTTCCCGAGGTGCTGGAGTCTTCAAATAACACCTCTTTTATAGAGTTTTCAAGAACTCAAGACTATATCCAAAACTTAGTGAAAGAAAGGGACTTCTGTTGATTTCACTGGGCTTTGAATTGGGGCCTCACCATTTCATGGGATTTGCCTTGTAGAATGGGGTATTTGCTGCATGGCTGGTGGAGTATTGAGGCTTCAGAAACCATCATCTGTGCCAGAAACTGCCTCTAAATGTGAGCACTCTCAACGGTCAGGGTTGGAGAGCACTGAGGATCCAGTACTCAGGCTGGGGTCATGTCTGGCAAAGGCATTTTAGGCTTTAAGTTTCAGCAGGGTATGTTTAAGGATATTTTCAGTATTGCTTTTATGAGGAGGAGAGTGAGAATTTTTATTGACTCTTTCCTGACTGCTGATGTATAAATATCTGCCAGGGGAAAAAACACCTCAGTAACCACAGGCAAATGGTGAGGGACAAAAAAGATGCTTTACCCAAGCTGCGCATGTGAAGTAAAGGGAGTCTCACAGCCACATCTGCCCCTCTGGGTTTTCTTTTTCCCTCTCTATCCATAGATACCTATATCCACAGATACATCTATGTTATCTATACCAAACAGCCCTAAACTTGTGGCCACAATTCAATTTACATAACGATCAGGAGACCACCCAGAAGCCAACAGGGAAGCAGGGAAGAACAGATCATATTTGGAAGTGGACACTCCTGAAGTCCTACCCGTGTCTCCAGTATGCTGCTAATTGTCCAGTCATTAGTGCCACGTACACGATTACCTGTTCAGCCACCCTTGAGACCGTACACCCCCACCCCCACCCCCATCATCAACAGCCTGGGAACAAAACCATCAACCATTCTTTGCCTAAAACCTAAATTTCCAATTCTCCCAGGGACTGCTCTAAATTTTGTGAAGAAAAATCCCCTAAGAAGAAAAGTTAACTAAACGGTGTATGAAACATACTAAATGTTTAAAAATATGCTGGCAGCAGTTATATAAGCTCTTTTCTGTTCCAAAGTACATATCGGAAGGATATAACTAGGACAGTGAAAAGGTAAAATAAATATAAATCGCCAGCTTGGAAGAAAAATGATGTTCATCCCACAGTCTTAAAACCATTCATGTGCAGTGATTTTTTTTACAGTTTTCTAATTTTGTATTATGTTTTGTAAATTATTTATAAAGTGTTGTAATGCTTCTTATATTAATTTTTTTATAAACAAATTTTTGCTATGAGGCATAAATGGTGCCTGAACAGATTCTTAGGAAGATAAATTATGTGTGAGTCATACATCTTTGGGGGACCATAAATATTTTGTTTCATTTTGTTACTGGCAACATTTCTGGTTTCCATTTGTAAACAATTTTCATGTATTGATTACATTTGAATACCTTTTAATTTTACATGTGACTAAAAGATAGATTGCTACCAGCAAATGAAATGTCTCTTCAGTCATATGTGAAGGTTTAATGGTTTTCTGGTTC